GTTACCATACATAGTTATGGCATTTTTTTTTGTGATGAAAACGTTAAGATTCTGAGTTACTTTCAAATATGCAATATAGGTGTTCCCTGTTGGTCTAGTGGTTAGGATTCAGCGCTCTCAAATATGCAATACAGTATTATTAACTATGGTCACCATGCTCTACATTGTACAGCCTTTACTTACATATTTTATAACTGAAGTTTGTACTTTTGACACCTTTCACCCATTTCACCTACCACGTACCTCCCCCACCTCTGGCAGTCACCAATTTGTTCTCTGTATCTATGAGCTTGGTTTGTTTTTGTTTTTAGATTACACATATAAGTGAGATTACACATATAAGTGAGATCATATGGTATTTTTTTGTCTTTGTCTAAATTATTTCACTTTATTTTTATTTCACTAAATTACAGCATTATACACTCAAGGTGCACCCATGCTGTCGCAAATGGCAAGATTTTATTCTTTTTATGGATGAATAATATCCCATTGTGAGATATATTATATATTCATATATGTAACACCTTTTTATCCATTCATCCATCAATGGACACTTACGTTATTCTTACCTGTTGGCTATTGTGAATAATGCTGCTATGAACACAGGTATACAAATATCTTTTTGAGGTGTTGCTTTCTGTCTTCCATAGTGGCTGCAGCAATGTACATTCTCAACACTGCACTAGGGTTCCCTTTTCTCCACATCTTCACCAACACTTATATCTTGTCTTTTTGATAAAAGCCATTCTAACGGGTAATATTGTTGTTTTGAGTTGCATCTCACTGATGATCAGTGATGCTGAGCACCTTTTCATGTACCTGTTGGTCATCTACCTGTAAGTTCTCTTAGGAAAATGTCTATTCAAATCTTCTACCCATTTTTCAATTGAATTGTTTGTTTGTTTTGCTTTTGAGTTGTATGAGTTCTTTAGATATTTTGGATATCAATCCCTTATCAGATACATGATTTGCAAATATTTTCTCCCATTCAGTAAGTTATCTTTTCATTTTTGTTGATGGTTTCCTTTGCTGTGCCAAAGCTTTTTAGTTTGATGTAAGCCCACTTGTTTATTTTTGTTTTTGCTGCCTTTACTATTGGTGTTAAATCCAAAAAATTGCCAAGACCAATGTCAGGGAGCTTACTGCCTATGTTTTCTTCCAGGAGTTTTATAGTTTCAGGTCTTATGTTCAAGGTTTAATCCATTTGGAGTTGATTTTCGTGTATGGTGTAAGACAGTGGTCCAGTTTCATTCTTTTACATATGGCTGTCCAGTTTTCCCAACACCTTTTATTGAAGAGACTGTCTTTTCCCAAAGGCTCCTTTGTCATAAATTAATTGACCATAGAGGCATGGGTTTATTTCTGGGCTCTCTATTCTGTCCCACTGATCTATGTGTCCATTTTTATGCCAAACTAGGTATTATTAACTTCAGTTTATAGAAAAGGAAATTAACGTTTGGGTCATACAGCAGTTAATTCAGTGGGCCATGATTTTTTCCCACCATTTTATTTTTAAAAGGTCAAACATATAGAATAGTTAAAAAAAACAACAACTGCGCAATGAGTATTCATAAAGCCAACAACTTAGATTCTATAGTTACCATTTTGCTGCATTTGCTTTATCACATATCTATCCATCTATCAATCCATCAATTGAGCTTATTTTTGATTCCTTTCAAAATTACTTGCAGAAAGCAATATACTCTACCCCCAAACATCTTATTGGAGTTCAATATTTATTTATGTTCTATATTTTTAAAGTTAAATTATATAGTAAAATATAAAAGTGTATACTTAGATAACTTGTGATAAATGCATTCACCCATGTAACCAAAACCTCTAAGATATACAACATTTCCACCATCCCAGAAAGTACCCTCACACTAGGGGCCTTGATTTGAACATAAGATCTGTTTCTAAAGTCCAGTCTTTTTCACAACATTATGCTACTTCTTTTTAAAAGTCCCAAAGTGTAAACATATTAAACATTAGGAATTGTATTGCTAACCTTCAATAATTAAGGTAGTTAAGATATGGAAAAATGATAGGAAGAAAATACTAGTGATGTCCTCCACCAAAACCAGAGAGCCTAGGTATTTAATATCTATAGGAAGTTACTGTACTACCTTCCCACCACTAACTCCTGCTAAGTAAATAGAAACTTCTACTTCCATCCCTGAGAGTTTAAGAATAAACTCAGGAGAAACAAATATGACAATAAAAACCATCTCATATGTTCATCTCTTGTACCCTCAATTAAAATAATAAATACTTGGGGGCAAAACCATTTCTTATGCTTTTGAGGTAAGCACTAGGTTAAATGCTATATGCTTTAGTGGTTACTATGATAGGCAGTGGGGAACTGGAGAGAAGAAAAAAGCTTTGTAATTCACCAAATCTGGGCTCAAAGCTCTTCATATTTATTAGCTACATATCCATGTACGAATTACTTAACTTCTCCAAGGCTCAGTATCTTATCTGTAAAATGAGGCTTATATTTTGCCTTTCTTTCAATGTCAGGTTTCTCAAATGATTTACATGCAGACGCAGGCAAGAGAAGCCCTAGACTTCAAGCTTCAGAGGGAACAGCGCTAGCCCTCTTCTAGCCATACCCCTTCCCACAGGGTGAAGAGACCTTGGGGCCTAAGAGACATGCACATCATGAAACGACGTCTCTGCCACAGAGCATGCTCTGGGTAATCCAGACTCAGGAGTTCCTTCTCCAAACAGCAGCGAGCCTGCTTCCAAGTCTGCAAAGACCTACTCCCTGGGTCTCACTTCCTGAGCACGTATGGTTGGTGCATGAATGAGAGGACTGGGGGTTCAAACGTATAAAGCCACCTCTCAGGGTAGAGAATGGTGCGCAGGGTAGGAAGATATATGCATTTAGGCTCAGAAGGTGGGGTGGGCTCAGCCCACGCAGACACATTCTGACATGTAAGTCTGAGGAATTCAGGCAGAAATTCTTAGCTCGAACCTGAATTTCAAGATTCATATGAAAATTTGTCAAATTAGAAGTATAAAATATATTTTATGTAATTGTTATACATATTGACCTGTCCACTATAAAAAGGGTTTTGACCTGTCCACTATAAAAAGTGAAAAAAAAAATTAGGTCAGTCACTAACCAATAAAGTACATATATGGTATGTGGGTCTTATACATATATGGTATGTGGGTCTTCATTTATATATTTTATGTAATTGTTATACATATATGGTATGTGGGTCTTCATTTATATTTGCTCCAGACCCTGCATATGCTACAAATGGGCCTGTCTATATCTACTAATAACCTTACATGTGTACTTCCATATTCATTTTCAAAATATTATCATATTGAGTCGTATAACATCATGAGTTAGGCTACATTAACTCCTCTACAGATAAAGAAACATACATGTTTAAACCCACTCAGCGTCCTTGTCTATCTCCATATCACTCTTCTTTACCAAATATCTGTGTTTCCTCCTCTACCATAGCATCGATACCATACTTTCCAAGATAATGTGCCCCTATTTCCTAAATCCAGTACTCATTCTCCATAACCTCTCTTTAGCACATAATACTGTTAACAATTTTTCCTTTCTGAGAACAGCGTTCCCTTTAGCTTCTCAGGCTAGACTACTTCTGTTCCCTTCTTAGCTTTTTTTGCACTCTCTCTTGGCTCCTGTCTTTCTCAGGGTTTTTGTGAAGGATAAGATAGTTTCTGGCTGCTGTAAGCTTAAAGCATATTTAATAAAAGGTAGGTTTTCTTTTTTAAAATCTAAAGAGAATAACATTTTTAAGTACAGTGCCAGTTACTCTGCTAGGTGATACATGCATGCGCACACATTATTCCATTTATCATGAAACAAGCTCAGATTGGTTGACAAATGAACCTGTATTAGAAACCTGACTCCAACATTTTCTAGGCTTTATGATCCTGAGTCAGTCACTTAACTTCCCTAGTTCCTGCTTTCCCATCTGTGTAATCTTACAATGTTCTTGTGAGAACTAAATGAAAAACAGGATATAAGACACAGCACATGGTACATAGTAAATGTTCACCGCCTCCTCATCTTATTGCTTCTAACTGAATACATTAGTTTTCTCTCATTTCCTTGTGTACATTTCCAAAAACTAAGTCCTCGGTCCCTTGACCTTCTTTCTTTACACTCTACACCTACACATTATGACACCTGTGAACTCGATTCCTCCAGAAAGATGGTTTTGAGTTATCTGCATCCATTTCTAAGGGTCCAGGCCCACATCTCTAAATTTTGCTAGTTATTTCTACTTGAGAATCCCACTACCTACCATATCAAACTGATCCTTTTCCTCCAAAATTGAAGAATGAAAGCAAAAGACTGGGGAGGGAGGGCATAAAATATTACAAAGGGAGATGTGATACAATGGATGATAAAGAAGCTAGTTTCATGGTTTCAGGCTTGTCTGAGAAAATTGGAAATATTAAGAAGATTCTCTTAGCTCATGTCCAAAAATTTCTTTCCTTTTTTTTTCCCTTATCCTTCAGACATGAAACTCTAATCTTTCTATTTTCCTAACCTACAAAGGCCAAAATGTTCTCATTCCTTTGAATTCCCTCACATTTAAATGCTCCATTTTTTAAAACAAGAAAAAAAATCTTAATGTAAATTTCCTTAGCCACCTGTTAATACTTATAAATTATTTCCAAGACTGTGAAAACTTTCCTTCAAAAATTATTTATATTTTCTAATATAGTTAGTAGTCATTACATTGATTTCTCTTGAAAAGCAATTCTTAAAACTGTAACATAAGTCTCAAAAACAGACTGCTATGCTCTCTATTAAATACTAAATAAGTTAACTTAAAAAACCCAGATGATAAAGAACAATGAAAGTTTATTAAAAGAAATGGCTTTCCTCTTTGGTTGAATATATTGCATTTCAAATTTGGGGATTTCTGATTACATTTTTGTTACTGTGATCAAAATAGAGCTGCAGGGTAATAAAACTGATTTTAGTTTGCTTATTTTACCTGAGTAGCTTTATCTTTCATGCATGAAGGGTAATGAAGATGAGGATCCCGTGGCCACTGTCCTGTGAGATAAGGTCCCGTTATCGTATCCAAGGAAGAGGTTCGCCTTATTGTATTAGAGGATCGAACTTGCTGAGGTTTTGACCTGTCCACTATAAAAAGTGAAAAAAAAAATTAGGTCAGTCGCTAACCAATAAAGTACAATTTAAAAGTATTTAAACTTTAAAGTTTGTGTAATGTCACCCTACATCAATTTTCCCTACTTTTTTTATGTTTACGCTAACACCCCTCTTATATGGTCTGATGAAATTTACAGATCCTCTCCAAAGGGAAATATATTCACATATTAAATCTTGTATACATTTCCAGGGCTGTCACAGACCCTATTGCCACAGACCCTATAAAGCCCATCCATTTTAAAGACCTATTATAAAATCTATGTATCACCTCCACTGCTATTACTTTATAAGACTCTATCATGTCTCACCTGAACTGCTACTCCTAACTGCTATCGCTATGTCCATCTCAACTAAACCTTACAGTGCCACCTCTCACTCCCACTAAAAAACATTTCCATGGTTTTTCACTGTCTTTAACTTAAAGCTTATATTTTTCACAATTTGTCTTCCACATACAATGCTTAATGTCTTGCTACTCCTCTAGAAATGCAGGCTAAGTGCCACACAAACTAATTGCAGTTTCCCAAAGGTAAAACTCCCTTCTCTGGCTCTATAAACTGTATTATTTCCTGGGCCTAGAACTCTCTCCTTCCCTGATCATCCAACAAACTTATTTTTTTAAGATAAACGTGCCTTCCTCTGTTTATATGGAACCCTAAATTTATCTCTCACCCAACCAGAGCATAAAAGTTCAGTCTTTACAAACTGAAAAGGAATTGATGCTTAATATTTATTTAATGAATTTATTTACAGTTGTTACATAAAACAATGTATATAAAGAAACATATTTTAATTCAATTTCCTCATTTATGAGTGAAGAATTTGAAGCCCAGAGGGATAAAACTGAATTATCCAATAGAACAGAACTGCTAACAAGTGACAGAGGCAAAAAAGAACCAAGATCTCTAGTCTGTACAATCTACTGCTAATGTAACAATCTAATGTAACAATCTACTGCTCTCCATATGGGTACCACAGGTACCTCTGTTGAAAATTAAAATGATCATACTTAACTATATAATTTTTCATATACAAATCCCCAATAATTTACTACTAATGTGCATTCTATAATAAAATCCAGTGGATTACAAACTCCGAAACTTAGTTTTATTCAGTTATATCTCACATCAAACAAAATGCCTTGCATGCACATTAAAGGTCAAGAAATATTTATTTGTTCTTGAATGCTGTCCTTTATCTTCCTAAACCAAAATAGTCTTTTTAATCACAAAAGAAAATGCAGTATACTCTGATGTTATCATGTTTTTAATAGATCTTACAACTGTAGTTTTGACTTCTTTGACTCGAGTGTTAGAAAAAAATCTGAAAATTACCAAATTTCCTATCTTTATTACTTAGATCTAATTTTATTTCATCATAGGCAAAGAATCTAGGATGACCTATTTCTACTCTTTGGAATTACCTGCAATTTTGTGACCAAAAACATGGAAAAATTTTATAAGCATTTTATGAATTATGGAGAATATATATTTTGTTTTCCAGAACAAATAGTTCTTTCTCTTGTACATCAACTAAAATAAAAAATACAGAATATAGGAGTAATATAATTATCAACTTGATTTGTCACAGATTTAGAATACTCTTAAAATTTCTAAACTCCTATTGAGATCTAACAATTCTCTTTATTGCTTGCAATTTTTATCATTATATTTTAGTTCTGTATAATTTGGCACATATTAACCCAAGAAATCATCATTATGGCTTATGTTTCACCATTATAATCTATTCCACTTATTACTTTTGACTTTTAAAGTCTGTCAAATTGAATATTATGACTCCCTTCTGCCTCTTCCTAGTATAATTTGCCTGGTATGTCTATCCTTTCAGTTTCAATTTCTTTGCATCATTTTATGTCTTTTGTATACAGTACATAATTGGACTTCTTGAAAAAACTTTGTAGTAATCCTGCTTGTAAAAGGTAAGTTTATCCCACTTATATTTATTGTTGTAACCAATCTAACATTTCATGTAACTTTTTCTTCCTATTTTGTAATACTTCCTTGCTACTTGTTTTCTGTTTTAATGTTTTGTTTCTTCTTCTATCTCCTTACTTCCTCCGCCCATCATAGGTAATTATAGACTGTTTTTTTAGTTCTATTACTAGAGTTAATTCTATTAATTCTCTTAAATATTTTTTCTGGCTGTAAAAGCAAAACCCACAAATTTTAGCAACTTTATGAAACAGAAAATTAACATGTCTCTCAATATCTGACTTATAACTCTTTGTTTAAAATTTAAAAAGTTACTTTACATTCTCTCTTCCAGGAAGAAATAAAAGAAACAAACAGATTATCCCTTTAAAAAGACATGTTTATAGAAGTTCACCACTAAAAAAAAAAAAAGGCCTATATAAAAGTCAGTTATAACCAGAAAATGAAAAGCCATTATTATATATGAAAAATTTATTTCTAAAAACTTAAAACTACTTCAAACTATTTAAGAAGTTGTATGTGGTCTACTTATAATTATTAAAATGCCTTCTAACTTGGTAAGTAAGCAATATGTACCATTTTTATGTTTTCTAATGAGTTCAGTATATGAAAAATCTACAAATGAGCCCCTTGATCTGTATAATTTTCTAATTTACTAACTTTTATTATATTTTTAATCACTGGATCTTTGCTTACCTTTTTCAAGCGATCACTTGTTCTCCATATAGTGTCTACTCTCTATGACTAACTACTCTGTCAGGACTACGGTCTTCAAGTTATTTTGACTAAGTACTCCTATTGTTAAATACATAAGCATGCAGCAATATATGTAGTTATTTATTTATAAATTAGATATGTACTGTATCGTTAATGTTACAAATATTATAAAACAGACAAAAATAGAAATTTACATGTATGAAATATAAAATAAAAAAATATATGTATGAAAAAAATTAGAAGTCATTATGTTTTCTTCCTATTTCTCAATGGGTGGCCTTACTCACTTCAATGTGAAAACCACTGGGATAAGGGACCTGAAATTGGGTGCTAAATTCAATCTACAGATTGGCCAGTTAGCTTGGTCTTATTCTAAGATATAATCCTACTGCTTATGTGTGTTAAGCATGTGTAGAACCACACATTATCAATACCACAAAAAAAAAAAAAGGCTTGACTTAAAAAGAATTAAAGAATATGAGGCAAAATATTTGAAAGGTTATATTTCAAACATATATTCCTCAAACTAGGAAAATTTTGAAGATATAGAGTTATTAGTAATTTCTATATAAATTATTTAAAGAATAAAAATTCAGATTAAGTTTAAATATTGGCTAGGATAATACTCTTCCAAGATGTGATCAGCCACAATAACCCCACTTATAAAAAAACACTAGGGCCTTAGATTTATCAAAAGATTCATCATAAACAGTGCAATTCTATTTCAACAAGATGAAATAGACATCTAAGCCTTGCTTCTCCCCAATTTTTATTTAATTTGTGGTATTATCTCCTACCAATTAGTTCTGTAACATAATGCAATAAGGAAAATCAACTGATTTTACATTATTTATATACTTAACACAATAAATTTTCTTATTTCATAATTACAGTTGTAATTAGAATATGTATTTAGTTTTGAATTGAGCGATCACAATATTTCTCTACTATTATTAAAAAAATGACCTCAATTCAAGTAGACCAAATAAGAGGACATCTTATCAACTAGAAACATATATTAGTAGAAACTATCTTTGAATTAACTTAAAAGAGCTTAAATTGCCAAAATAAATATTCAATTATATAAAGTATGAAAGAAAATCAATACAATAAATACTAAAAGTTTCTGACTCTCCTCATTGAGTTTACACTCTGGTTGGGGGAGATATGATATGTATAATTATCATATAAAGCAGTATATGGATGGCACATGGACATCAATGAAGGACAGGAAAGCAAACAAGGCAAAAATAAATTAGGCAGCAGATAGCAAGAATGATGTTCTCTACACCAAGGGAAGCTCTCAAGGAGGAGTAAGAGTCTTGCCACACCACTTTACAGTCCTATTGCTAACATCTCTTAATTAAATATTTGTGGGCAAAATAAAGAATAACTAAATTCAACAATAAAATATGACAGTTAAAAAGAAACCATATGTATTTCTAGTATTATATCATTATTTGGACCAGAAAATGACTGTTCATAGAAGCAGTATGTCAAAAGGCTTCCTCATTACATTCATCTATAGCTTGTACTTTCCCTTACCCGCCCCCTCCCCACCGCCCCTATAGAAAGCCACATGGCAGCAGCAGTTGGTAGTTGGTAGGCCTGGGATCCTCTGGGGTGCCTACTGAGGACTATACAAAATAATTCTTGCTCTTTAGCAGCCAATTGGAAATTCAACTTTAAAGTAATAATAGTAAAATAGGTTTAAAAATAAGAAGCTATATTATATAACTCTGAATTTGAGTATCAAACCACGCATTGTTCTAAATAGGCAAAAAATGCTTAATATCTAACTGCCAGAGCAATGTAATATGAAGTTAAATTAATTTGTTCCCAACAGCAATTTTCCTTTAGTGGCAATGACTGAAGATTCACTAGTGAGTTTGGAAATCTGATGTCTTAAGCTAAACTGCAGTGGAAAATTAACAAAGTTAAATGGAAGTTCTTTAATTAAAAAAAGTTATTGAATGCTGGAAACTTTAAGAACTTCGGCTACAGAGTAATATGAAGCGAGCCACCATACTTTCCAAACTAACCTTACCAACTGGTAAAGCGGATGCAATATTTTTGAGTGCCATAATATAGCCACATACAGAATAAACCAAAACACATAATTAAAAAAAAAAGTGCTCATTCCTTTCTTGGACTTTAACACACTCCAATCATTTCATCCTAAATTTGTAAGAATGAAATAAGCTAATTAATCTTCATAAGCAAATAAAAAATTTCAGTTCTCTGTGTTTAGCTCTCAATGATTACTAGACAAAGTGTTCTATTAACATTGATTAATTACATAAG